CTCCTGTTAATTTCTCTCTGGAAGTTCTCCACTGCATTGGCTGGGTATTGAACTCACACACTTTGGTTCCTGTCACTGGATCTAACTAACGCCTTTATCCACTGTGACATGTGTCCTTGAGGACATCTGTGTATAAATTTCTGGGTATTATAAACCTAATGTCTTCAGCAATCATTTTTTTTACCAGAGCTCATATTGCAATTTGTCGTTATTATCACTTTTCTCTGGCACTCCTTATTACTGGTTCCCATATTGTATTCATCTCAGAAATATAGACAGATTTTCTGAGCATATTTATTTTATTGTTTATTCTCTCTTTGTCCTTTTCATTTTATGTTATTCCAAGCTCTAAGATAAATGAATTGATTTATTTTTTTTAGAACTTTGCAGCATGAAAAATATTCATAGAATTGTTACAAAGTTTTTTTATTTTTTTTTTAGCTCCAAGACAAACTAGTCTCAACACATTTATCTAAAAATAAAAAATGATGGGACACTAAAACCGATTAATTTCATTTGAAAATCTGTTTGGCTCAAAACCAATGCACAAATAAAACCGTGTAAGAGAAAGAGATTGAAGACCCCAAATAAAATATATTTACAGGTTGATTATTTGAGTGAACTGTACACAACAAACATCTGGAGATTGTGGAGACAAAAAGGCACCAGCAGAAATGAAAAGGAAATGGAAGAATTTCTTTTATGGATTTCATGATTTGACTTTTGTGACTGGAAACAGGAAGCAAGAATTTCTGTCAATTTAAAAAGAAAAACATGCCAATAATGGGAACGAGGAATTGAATTGTTTGGCGATTCTTGTGTAGTTTCCAGCAATATTTATGCTCAATGATCATGCCTGGCTAAATGTCAGGACTCTGAATGTGTTTTTTTTTTTTTTTTTTTATTTAAAGCAAGAAACTTTCACTTGGCAAATTGGTGCAACATGATCTTTCTATTTGGTTTTGGGCCAAACGAAGCCAAGTTTTTGTTAAATCAGAATAACATCTGTGAAGTTCTTTATTGTTACAGATAAAAAATATAATTGAAAACAAAAATGAACAGACACCAAATTCATTTTCAGATTGAGGTATATTTATTCCATAATAGATCATATATGCATATGTACAGGACGACCTGACCTCAGGTGGATATCACAGACGTGGGAGAATCAGATGACTTAAAAATCAGTTCACAAAAATTTACATCTGAGGAAAAATACATTTACTTGGATCTACAAATTGCCAACTTTTTTTAAATTTTCTCTTTTTCTTTGTATTCATTGTTCCACATAAAAAAAAAAATACTTGACCTTCTTTCATGACAAAATGTTTTAACTGCCCCAAAATAGAAAAAAATATATAGGAAAAACCAGTATCGACACAATGTTTAAAACGTCTTGTGAGAAATATATCAACAATTACAACAGAATTCTATATGAAAAAGAAGGAACGTTAGATTTGGCCAACTAATAATAGAATTAAAAATGGTGCCAGATTTGAAGAAAAAAACAAAAAACTTTCCACATTTATCTGAAAAGTAGAAGTGATAAGAAACAGAAAAATTGTCCATTTTAGTTCTGATAGTATCGGTGCTCTCAGGACTGTATTCATTGTCTTGGATATCATAGATTTTACAAGTACATAAATCCACAGGGTGTACTGAGAATCAAGTATAGTTTGCTCCTGTTATAAAGGTCTCTGCTTGTAAACTTGAATCCAGTGTTTATGGAAACATTTCCAGTTAAAGAACCAATCACCCACAAAAATAGAAAAAAAAGTAATTTCAAGATCTCCCCACAACTGGTAGCTAGAATTGTAATTACCCCAATAACTGAAGCACTTAAAGTAATTATTAAACCCCCAAAATAAATTAAGTTTGCAAATACCTGATTAAGTGGATGTGATGAGAATACAGAGAAAAATCTGTGAGACTTGTTGCCAATCTTTTACTAATAAACAAATTTTGGAAATGATGAAAGAAAATGGTTGGTTTTAATTTAAAAAAAAAAAAAAAAAAAGTAGGTGCACGCTTGTCTTAGTGAATAGGTTGCTAGTTGCAGTGAATTTTGATTTCTAAATGTTCTTTTTACTGAAAATATGGTATTACACGATATCTGTATAATGAGTGCAATATTATCAGAACAATAAAACTTAAGACATAAGAATAAGTTGTACTTCTATGTGTCATGTCCGTTTTGGATGTTAGCAATGCTGATGCTGTAATTTCTTGTCCTTTGTAGGCCTTACAAAATCTTCTCTTCCTGCTATATCTCTTAATCCTTGTTCAGCCATCCATTTACATAAAAGCTGGTTGCACAAAATTATGTACTGCTTTCTTTTATCCCACTTGATTTCAGAGGAAAACAGCGTATAACCTGGGGAGATTAAATTTGAGAAAACCAAGCAAACTAACACAATTATACGAAAATGAATAGAACAGATCTCTGTTGAATCAACTTTTCAGCACGTTCTTTGTGATTGTAGGTCATCCACACCAATAGTGCATGTCGATTTTGGAACTGTAATATTGCACTAAGTTTGGGTTTTACATGATAAATAATAACGCAAAATATTTTTTCCAAATCATTACCATTTTTCAAGGAAAAATCTTTAAAAAGATTAAGTTTAGGTTCAAAATTGTAGCATTGGAATTTCATTCTGATGATCAGTTAAAGCCTTAGAGCACAGCATGATGAAATTTATAATTTTTATAGGGACATGATGCATGACCCAAGCATATTATCATAAAATCATTGTGCCATCAAATACTTCAAAAGGAAATTATACTGAATATTTTACCTATATTATGATGTAATATATTATAAAGTGCAGTTTTAATGATTTCGAATAAACAATGCAAATTTAAAAACATTTTATCTTATAAATTATGCCCAACATTATTATGGTGTTATATACACTTTTTTCCATATATTTTTTTTTTTGTCTTTATTAATAATAATCTAACAAATCTTATTCATTAAGTAGACTTAATTTTTGTATTTTTGACAATTATTTTAATTATTGACTACAGTAAAAAAAAAAAAAAAAATTGCATATTTTGCTTGTGGTGATACATAATGGATTCTGGTTTGAATATATTCTCCATTCAATGAATCAACTTTATCTGTAAAATTTTATTTTGAGAATAAATCCAATCAGTTTGTAAGTAAAAAAAACCTGTGGAACTTGGGTCTTTCTATACATTTTTTTTCCAGATGATCTTTAAAACTAAATACTCAAAAATTGGTAAAAAGCTATGAATCTAATTCTTGGTCTTAGTAATTATCATACCAAAACCCAACTTTCGTACAATGTTGACTTCCTAAAAGGCTGATTTTTTTTTTTTCACTTCTGTCTTGCTTTACCAAAATGTTCTACTTGGCTGCTAGTCATTCAGTAACTTTGGCCTTGTTAAATATATAACAGATGACCATAAGAAAACATCATTATGGTTGGTCCAGTCTTACTACCAAACTTTCTTTCAATAAAAGAAAAATCATTGGTACTGAGTTGGACAATTTCGTTAAAATATTTCTTTTGAAGAAATGTCCCCAAAGAAAAGATTAGCAACAAAGACTCAATGTAATATCAGTTTTCCCAAAGAGTCGCTGTAAAATAAGGGAATCTAGTTTGCATTTAATAACCAGATAAGTGAGTTTGGATGAAATGTTAAATATATAGAAAAGCAAATACAACAATCATTGCTACAATTGATGATCACAGATGACATGAAGAAAAAAAAAAAATCAAGAGAATAAATGACGGAGTTGGAAAAATAATAAAATTGAAATTGTTTATATCAGCATAATAAAAACGGATCAATTTAAGTGCATGACACTTAAGTTTTTGGTTTCAAGCTACTGGCAGATACAAGGCACTTGTTAATCATTATTGACAGAGACCACATAATAAAATATTAAATTCCTGATGTTAGCAATCATGACTCTTTACTACTTTCTATTCTTTGTAGCAGTAAGCAATGTTTGTCTCTTTAGCAGAACAGGTACTGGGTGTGACAATAGTCATTTACACAAACTCCTTGATGTTTTCTTCTGCCCATCTTGCCTTCAAGGTGTCCAGAAATTTTAACCATCACTTTCTGATTTTTAAGTTTCCCTTTTTTTTCTTTTTTTTTTTCCTTGAAACTTTCTCAGTGCTCAATCTATGCTATTCTCAGCATCCTTCTGTAGAACCAGTTCTCTGCTATAACAAGTCACCTCTTTAGCTGTGAGGAAATTATCCAGAATATACTGGAGGACTGATGTTACATAGCAGTTGTGTGTGCCTGTAGCCACTGGGATGATATCTAATGTTAATTCAAGAGAACGTTGTAGGTGTGGGGACCAAAGTAGAAGCTTAAAAGAATAGGAAAAAAAAATGGTAATGGTATTGAAATCTGCAGAACATTCTTCAGTAATGGCAGATTCTTTTCTTAAAGAGTGACAATCAGCAGATGAATAAAGTAAAAAAAACAAAAAACTTCCAATCATCAACCTATTTAGTGGTTTTATTCATTCTTAAAGAAACTGCAATTAGTACTGAATAAACTCTCTCGTCAATGTTCCTTAAACAAAATCCAGTTGCTAGAATCAAACAGGGTTGTTTTTTTTTTTTTTTTGTTGGCATGCATATTGAATCCTGATTAAAAATGATTCCAATTAATAATCAATGAGTGAAGCACATGAGGCTGGATTTTGTTCGGATAGAAGAGTAAAGGAGCATCGTTCAGTATCTGGTTCAGCATTTTGTACCAGAGATTTTGTTGAGACTAATATTCTAGAAAGTCACTGGTTTTGAAAACTGATCGTCCCATACATCTTCATTAGGAAAGACATTTGGGGGGAAGAGGAGATGTGAAATGTGTAGGAAGCATGCCTGAATAGTGAGGCGATATTGTAAGTAGGTTTATATATTCGTTGACAAAAGAAACCATAAGTTTCCATCTAAGAGAGTTGCTGACTGCACCCATGTGGAGATATGGACAGTGTTAAAATTGATTGATTAATCACAAAGAATGCAATATTCTGAGCATGTGAGCACGGGTGGAAGAGAGACAGAAAGAGAGACCATGTATCTGAAAAGAGAGAGAGAAGCAAAAGAAATAGATGAGACATTTTGCTTTCTCACACAGAAACTTTTTCTTTCCTCTGGTAGGCGTGGGTGAAAGAAGAAATTGGGATTAAACGTAAAAAAAAAAGACGATGTAGAAAGAAAACTAGAAGTGGGAAGACAATGGAAATGAGAGCGAAAAGAGTAAAATGAATGTTGAGAAAAGGGGGGAAAACTGATGACGAGAGAGAGAGAGAAAAGTGGGGAGAAGGACAGAAGAGAGAGAAAAGAAATTAAAGAAAAGAATAAAAAGGAAAGGCTAAGAAGAGTAAAAGAGATGAAATTAAATATTGTGAGTGAAAATGAATTTGTAATCAAATGAAAGGAAAAACAGTTTAAGGAAGAAGTATAAAAATCAGGGAAATGAGTATCTCATAAAACAGAAATCAAACAGTGTTTGCGCTCACATGCAGGTTTTGTGGTATGTTTTGGAAAGAGTATGGGAATGTGATATCCAAAAGTTTAAGCATGAAACAGACTGTCGCCTCTGGGTATTGACTTCAATATCCACTTTTATATTGATATATGATCTATCTCTGATACTGCATAGCTATAGCTTGCCTTAAAGCTATATATATATATATTTTTTTTATCATATAAGATTAATTTCAAAAAGTGCTCAATACAAAGTAGAGCAATATATTATTATAATAATAAAAACATTGAAATTGCTACACAAGAGCTCTCATTACTTTCAATACTTTGATTGTACTTCTTCAATGATTTCATCAGCAGTTACTTACCATCACCTGAAGAAGTACAATGAAAGTATTGAAACATGAAAATGCTACAGTGGAATTTTACTCCACCTATTCTTTCTCTCATTTGGAGATATATATATATATGATTGTTTTGAAGCTTTCTTAGTTGAACTGAGGCCTTTTCAGCACCTCCACTGCCGCTTTACAGAAGGCCATCTGTTAAGCTGAGTAGCCACTGGCCTGCAAATGACTTTGAAAACCGGCCTTCTTCCTGCATACATCTTTTTACATATGTGAAAAACAAAAGACTTTTGGAGAATCTTGAGTGACTTTCTCCTACTGCACTCTCATGTGCTGCTTCAGCCCTGGTGTCAGGCCTGCAATTTTACAAATCTGACACCAGTAGACTGCAGGTTTGTCAGGAGCAACATCCACATAGTCGGCATTAAACGACAGATTAACATGCGATCTTAGGTGACTAGCAAGCTTGACACAAGATAGAACAGGTTTCACACAAATGTTACATACAAGCGCAGACTGAATATTTCCTGAAATCAAGTCTACATTATCTTTCATAAGAGGTCGTTTCAACTTTAAATGCTCAACTCTTGACCTTTGCCTAACCAGACTTATTTGTTTCTTCTTTTTCTCAGTCTTTGACAAGAGTTCTTTCAAGTGTCTTTTTTTTTTAACAACATCCTTGAAATGTTTCTTAGGTTTGTTTCTGGGGCACTTATCAAGAATAAACTCTTGATAAATTAGGTGCTTAAGCAATCTTTCATCTTCCTGAGATGCCCTCTGCAGTTGATTACAAATGAACAGTTTCTCTGTTGGGTGTTTTAGCCCATTGCATATATATATATATATATATATATATATACACACACACACACACACACTATGCCAGATTTATGATGCAAGTCATAAGCAATTTAATCTGAATGCATTGCACAGGAATGTGTCGCATTAGGAAGTACTGACTTTAAACTGTATAGTGGAAGAATTCAACACCTTTGAGAGTGAATGTTCCAGGCATGATCTCTGCAAATCAGAACGAGTCCCTATACAAACTGATATACAGTTTTAGAAATGTTAGAGTGAACGCATGCTGTTGTTGAAGGTGGGTTATGTAAACCATCTGAAAGGTCATCATAACAACCAGTACCAAGTCAACTGGCCTCATCGTCCTGCTGACAATACCTGCATTGTTTGCAGATCGTTATTTGGACTGCATGCCCTACAACAAATTTGATCTAGATGTTTAACAACTGAGCTATTTACCATGTGCCAGAAAGCACATGGTCATAAACAGAGCTGTAGGGGCGCAGATCCAATCACAGATACATATATGATTGGTACCCTTATGAAACTGAATGCCAGTTTCAAGAGTCATGTTGGAGCAATGAAAGCTCTCACAAATGATGTAAGGGGTGAGGAAGCAGCTCTCATCCAAGTAAGATGTGGCAAACGAATACACACACACACACACACACATATATATATATGTGTGTGTGCGTGTCAGTGATTGTTTATTGCACACCTGACTGAAGTCTTTATTTTTGGTCATTTTGCTGGATAAGTTTTATAGGTAGCCATATCTACATAAAAATTTACAGAAGGATAACATTAAGAATAAGTAAAAGAAAAAAATATATTAAAAAAATTAAATAATTTCCTTTCCAGAGGAAAGGTACTGAAAGTATCATTTCTTTTATTTGAAATGATCGAGAGAGGAAAATTTTGGTATAACCTTAAGTTCATCAATAACACTTTATTCTAGCTTAATAAACAGATATACAAAATATTCATTTTTTAAATGACTAGAAATGTATAGAAGAGGGAAAGATTAGGAATTCTCATTTGATTTCAATAAAGACCAACTACATCCATATTAATTAAAAAAAAATGTTAAGACACTGTCAACAGAGACACATAAGGCCCCATAAAATAAGTATAATCTAGAGCTTTTGTTTTACGTGTGGTATGTACCTGGAATATATAAATGCATATGAATTATGCATTTTTCAAAGCAAATGGTCTATGTGAGAAATAGAAATTCTATTCATTAGAATAGGTAGGTGATTGTTTACTTCCAAATGTCAATGTCTTCACATTTGTAGAGGAGAAGAGGTGGGAGGTAGACAAAAATGGAGAGTAGGAATTAGACAAAGGAAAGTCATTTGTGTGAGTACATAACCTCTGTTTAGAATTCACCATGAATAGAGAGTACACAACCCCCAGACAAACTTACAAATTTATGAAATGTCTCAAGGTGTGACTAAACCTCAGAAGACTATGTACACTTTGTTTTAAGATGACATTGATATGCCAAATGTTTCACTTTTGACAGTCATTTACGTAGCACACATTGCAGGAGTAGCTTTCAAGATCACTTTTGCTTTTTAGCATTAAAAAAAAAATAAATACAAATATACAAGAAAGAACGAATCTCTTGAACTGAAAGTAGTATTTCCCAAAAGTTGGATTCTGGTTGTTAACTTTATCAATTAAAGTCTTTTTGGTTATAAATGAAGAGATTTTTCAGAGATTTTTACTATTTTCTGAAAAAGAAACTATAGTTATCTTGAACAAAGTCATTAAAGTCTACATCTAAGGGACATCTTTGATCGAGCCTTTCACACTTCAGTGTTATGACAGTTTAACTTTAAACAATAAGAGTCAAAAATATAAATACTGTTGTATTTAAAAACAAAATGCAGTGTCTGATATTTTTCTCAGACAGCTGCATAAATTCATTGTTGTTCAGGGACTCTGAATAGCAACTAAAACTTATGAATGTTTATTGTAGTGAATGTTTATTTTGATGCAAAATAATTAGGAGTGTTCACTAATTGAAAATTATACATATGAGAAAATTTAAGTTGAAATTGTTTCATACTGAACAACAACTATCCAAAATGAAATTGATTTTGATAGATGGCTAGTCGACAAAATAAATGTGTCATATCACACGAGGAAGAGTTACATTGATTTTTTTAGCTTTATTGATAATACCTGGGTTCAACAGTAGATGTACGATCACACAATTTCATACATCACGAAACAATTTAAAATGATTAAACCTTTTTCTCAATCTAAGTTTTTTGTCTTTTATACCTGAAAGTCTTTTATTGATGCTAGTTAATTTCAGAAAAAAATATTTTAGTGACTAATTAGAAGTTATTAATTTCTTGGTCTGCCTTTCCTTATTCTATATATAAAAGATTTACATTTGTTTTTTTTTTGTTTAATCATCGTTATTTTATCAATCCTCTTTCCCAGCTAAATGACTTGTCTATCCACTCAAGGATTTAGGGTTGCTCTCTCTCTCAGAGTATTTCCACCCTTATACAAGTTTGGTCAATATTGTTATACATTATATTTATATGTATATTAAAAAGGTGTTCACCAGCTTAACCAATTGTCTTTTCCTCTAATAGAAAACAGCTATTTCTTTCACATATGGATTGCTGGTAATAAAACAAAGTGCACACAGCAATATCTGTTATATATCAGCTTGAACACAAAAAAAATGAAAATTCCAACCAGTGACGATATTAATTAAATGAATCATACCATGAAATGATTTCTGCATTGGAGATATATATATATATATATATATATATATATATATAAAGAATTAGTCAGCTATCTGGCACATGCCTGCAAGGAGTTCGGCTTGACCATCAGCCTCAAAAAGACATCCTGGCACAAGGATGTTGCCATCAACGGCATTCACCTCAAGGTGGTGGACTTTTTCACCTACCTTGGGTTGATCATCTCCGGCTCCCTCTCCCTGGACACCGAGATCAGCTCCAGGATAGGGAAAGTTGCCGCAGTCATGGCCAAACTAAACAAACGCATCTGGAACAACAGCCAGCTGATGGAAAACAAGAAACTACAAGTCTACCGGGCCTGCGTCCTCAGTACCCTTCTGTACGGCAGCGAGTCCTGGACAACTTACGCCAGTCAGGAGAAGAGGTTAAACACCTTTCACCTCCGTTGCCTCAGATGTCTCCTGCACATTAAGTGGCAAGACTGGGTCACTAACAGAGAGGTCCTCCAACGTGCCGGCATCCCTAGCCTGTTCAGGCTGCTCTGCCAAAGACGTCTCGGGTGACTGGGGCACATACGGCACATGGGTGCTGGCTGCATCCCAAGAGTCATCCTGTACGGAGAGCTGTGTGTGTAGGGGGGGTCCTGTCCAACTGGAAGACCTCAGCTTCGCTTCAAGGATGTCTGCAAACGAGACATGAAGCTGGCTGACATTGACACTTGGAGAGGCCGCGGCTGACAATTGTCAGCTTTGGAGAGCCACAGTCAGTGACAGCATCACGATTGCAGAAGCTGCAAGGGAAGATCAGCAGGCAGCAAAGAGAGCCAGGAAAAAAGCAAGGACAGCCCCCGTCTCCGTGTCATCCAGTTTAAGTGCCTGAGAGACTGACGCTCCAGTGTGGGACTTACACAGTCACCAGAGACGATATGTCTCCATTGCCTAGAATTAAAAAAAAAAAAAAAACGAAAGAAAAAAAAAGCGCTACTCCATCGCCTCCTGAGATGGACAGATGCCGACTATATATATATATATATATATATATATATATATATAAGGCATGTGTTGTTAAAGACTATGCAACTTTCTGTTTAGTAATTTTTTTTGTTTTTTTTTCTTGCAAGTTTTTTTATATTTGGGTCTAAGTTGTAAAAAAAAATCTTAGTCCTTGATGTTTTGCTGAGTGCTTTCCGTTCTTGTTAACTAATTGGGGCACACAAGCACAACTCTCTCATGTCAGATTACATATCATCTTAATGACACCAGTGCCATACAAAAGAAAATCACCTTATAACACACTGTACCAATAGTCACAGATTCAAATCCTCTGAAATAAGAAAAATCCTAATCAACAATACCAAAATCCTCTACAAAAACAAATACAAAAAATGCTTACAAATTCTTGAAGCCATCATAATTAAAAATCAAAAACCTAACATAAATAAAATAGCATATACTGGCAGAAACATCTTAAACATATTTAATAACTAATCATCCAAATAATAAATATCAACCCCCTCCCAATTGCTAATGAACTAATCCAAAATATCATCTATAAAATAATAAACAACTTACTTCAAATTGAAATATACAGCCATGATGATGGTTGACAACAAGTGAAAGCACTCAGCAAAACAGCAAGGACTAGGCTGTTTTTTTCAACAACTTAAACTAAAATATAAATAACTTGAAAGTAAAAAACAGAAAAAAAAAACTATTAAATGGAAAAGTTCCGTAGTCTTTAACAACACGTGTCAATAATGACATGCTGCCTATATATATATCTTACAATACATTGAGCTCTTTTTATGGTTTCTCTATTATGTAACTTATATGCTCTGTTATAATAAATACATTGAACTCTTTTTGTGGATCAGTTTTAATATTTTATATTATTTGGATTATATACCAATGGATTATTACCTGTACACACTCTCTCTCATATATATATATATATATATATATATATATAATCAAGTTTCAATAAACTGTTATTTCTAGTATTTGTAAAAGTTCAATCTGAGATAGGTGTCTTTGTTTGAAATACTCTTGCTATTGTATCTTTCACAATTAATTTTTATTCTTCTTCATGCCTTTTCTCAAAAAGATTTTGAATTGACTCATCATTTAAAAAAATCAATGTAATAAACAATTCAACATTTCAATTCCAAAACTGGTTCCTATGAAATATGAATAAATTCAGATTCTATATTCTTGATGGTCACCCATCCAACTAGTGATGAACCTCAGCATTGCTTAAATCTTGTATTTAGAGGAGATGAGGACATTTTTCTTTTCAGAATCATTTTCCACCCGATCATATATACATACAAAGACTATATAACTCAAATGTGTTTAAATTTCAAAACCCAAAAATGAAGACAAAGTAACCATTCTACTAATAACTGAAGCAAAGCCAGCTGGTGAGAGTTTGAAAGCTGCTATAAACAAATCAAAGAACAGCATTTAATATTTGCCAACCAAAAGAAAGAAGCAAAGAAAAACTCTTAGAGCAAAAGTGAAGAATGGTTTATGATTTTCTTTTAGAAATGATTTTCAAATGGTAAAGTAAAAGAAAAAAAAAATGAGCAGTGATCATTCCCATCACTTTTCCTTCGGAATATTTTTTTTTTTTTTAATGGTCAGAGACTTCATGAAGGGATAATTAATGTTACTTTTGCAATTATTAGTTTGTTGGCTAAAGTTAATATGCAATTGCCACACCTTTTTAGATATGTTAAAAAAAACAAAACAAAAGCTACTTTTTGATTCGGTTGAAAACATTAATCTCATTGTAAAATATGAAGAGTCATAAAGACAAATCTTTTCAATCTTTGTTGTCTAACTTATCACAATAACCGTAAACAGAGTTCAATTTATGACACACACTCTGCAAATAAGAAAACAAAATCTGATCCCAGCTTACAAAGCAAAAGTTAGACATGAAATTCCTACATCATTAAAACAAAATAATATTCTGTATTGATTTATCATAAATTCTACAGCAAAACAAATCGACTTTGAATGAATTTTTCTTACTTCATGTAATTATTGTTACAATGATTATTTATGTTCTTAAACAGAATTCAGAGCCTAAGGCAATGAATCTGTCCCAAATGATAAAAGAAGAGTGGAAATATATATAAAATTCTTTGGATTGAAGTCTTTATTTTCGTCATTTTGCTGGATAAGTTTTATAGGCAGCCACATCTACATGAAACTTTACAGAAAGTTTGTGAATAACATGAAGAATAAGTAAAAGAAAAAATAAATAAATAGAATTTCCAGAGGAAAAGTGCCGAGAATATCATTTCTTTTTATTTGAAATGATCGAGAGAGGAAAATAGTAATAACTAATTTTGGTATAACCTTAGTTCATCAATAACTCTTTATTCTAGCTTAATAGATGGATATACAAAATATTCAGTTTTCTTAATCTCCTTGAAAATGGACTTGATACAGTTTTATTATAAAAGTTTTACATATAGAAGAAGGTGATTACTTATTGCAGATCTGTGTATCTATCAAGGTATATTGACTTAGAAAACAAATTTAGTAGATGTTTACATTGTGTATGTATGTTAAGTAAATAAGTGTGAAACAAGGATTGATAAGGGGAAGTACAAAGATTACTTAAAAAAATGGCTGGAAATGTATAGAAGAGGAAAAGATTGAAAAGAATAAAGAGCTTAAAAGACTTTTAGCAACTTGGCTATGGGAAGAATTAGATAAAAATCACAAAAGTCAAGTGAATGGGAGATTTCCTATTCTTTCATCATAAGGAGGTTGGAAAAAAAAAAACAAAAGAAAAACATTAGAATATAAAGATTTTTTAATTCTGTACTTTCTCAACCTGAATTTCCTTGACTTCTTTATGGTCTTTTTTGGTTAAGCACCATTTGTGTTGTTACTGCAATAAATTTCTATTGAACAAACAAAGGACAATTCCATTAATTGAGCTTTTATTACAATCATTTGTTTCCTCATTTAAAGCTGTACAAATGATTTTATTAATCAGTAATACTTTGTCCCTATCCTAATTACTTGAATTAACTGAATAGAAAAATCAATGAATAAAAAAAAACAAAACATTATTGACCAAATGGACTCATTCACTCAAATCAATATCATTCTCATTAAAACATCTAATAATTGTCATATACATTTGACTTTATAAAAAGATTTAATTGTACAGGAATCTTAATGTAATATTTTAGATTTTAATGCAAAGTAAAAAAAATATTTCCTGATACAAAATCCTTAATTGGCTAATAGCCAGAAAGCACCCTCAAATGAAATACAAACCTTGTACAAAAGATTGTATACATTACTTGTGTAACAAAATTTTGACTTTCTATTTGTCTCTGGTCAGTAAGTGTTATTTCCTAAGTGCTTTTGTCTAGAAAGCAAAGGAAATGGCTATTATTCACTTCAAACTTTGCTTTTGTGACATGGACATTAAATGTTTTGAAACTAACCTATTTTTCTATTACATTCTAGACAGTCAGTGCTGAGTTGCTGAAGGAAAAGTTTCTAGAAGTATCAAGAACATTCTGGCAACATAGATGCCAATATAAATACAGAGAAGGGAAGCTCAACAGTTCAGTTTACTTCTCATTGTCCAAGAGCAGACAAGTCATCATTGACTTCTGAATTTTCTTGTGATCTCTCTTGTGTAATCCAAGAATAAATAAATTCTATTTTTGAATTGTGTGTCATTTTGTTTCTACCTTTTGTGAACAAAAATGTTCACACTCAGCAGTTTTCCCAGTGTGAATTGGCAAATTTCAGAAATACCATTATCCTGGTCACAAAAGCAAAGTTTGATGAAAATATTAGCCATTTTTCATGCTTTCTATGAGTAAGCAAATAGGAAATAACAGTTTCTACCCAAGGACAAAATTTGTGTTAAACAGCATTCTTTGCAGAGAAAATCTCTTCTAAGATAATAAAATGATTCAGGATTCATTAAGTCAATAAATAAAACTTTTACCTATTCTGTAGCAGTAGCGCCAATGGTAGCATCATTTTCATTTCAAATAAAATCTCTTTTTATATATATATATATATATATATATATACACACATACACACACACAGGCTTTTAAAATTTTTCTTGATTTAGAAATGTTCATTTGTTTTTTTTTGTTTTCTGCCATAAGTTATATTAATAATAATGGATTGCAACAAGAATAAAAATTCATCAAGAAGTTGGAAATGTGTAAAAGTAGAAAAAAGCACATTAAAATTTCAAATATACAGTTTACATAACATTCAAAACAAGTTGTTTTTTTTTTGTTTTTTTTCAAATTCTCACTCTTTTACCCACCCACCCCAACTTAAATCTTATATTTCTAGCTTTTGATGAAAAGATATAATTTTCATTTATAAAACAGCACTTAGCCTGCTTGACTTGAATTTTTCTTTCACTCATTTCTCCATCAATCCAAAAAGCTGTTTCATAATGGTAAACATTTCAGTCTTCTACATTTTCTTTTTCACAGAAAATGATCACCTGTACTTGAGAATGTGCAACATGGGGAGTCAAATGTCAGGAAAAAAAAAAAAAAAAACTAGAAGAAAGAATCAAAGAGACTTATTAGAAAATGCAAATAGAATATCTAAAAACAAGGCAAACATATTCATCTACAGGAATTGGCTTGAACAAATGCAAATTAAAACTGATGATTTTTTTAACTGATTTTTCTCATGAAAACTGTAAATTTTTGGTCATTTCTAATTTTTTCCACTCAGTTGTCCCATTGTTACTTTTCTAATTTATATAAGGATTTTCCATTGAAAATTGTTTCATTCTGAAATGGAACTCAAGAATTGACACTAAGAAAATATAATTCAATCATTTAAACATCAAAAATATGTTTCTTCAGGATTTCAAATCTTTATGTTCTTTATGCTACACACACACACTCTCTCTCTCTCTCTCTCTCTCTCTCTATATATATATATATATATATATAGTGTATATAGTATAAAGAATATATATATATAATAAAGAGGGATAGTGAGTTAATGTTTCATTAAGTCTTGTTAGCAAAAAGTGATTTCATCATTAATCATATTAACATTGCTAATTAATTCTTTGTATAATTACTTTGATATATATATATATATATATATACGACACACTCTAATATAAATAAAATGTTTGAATGTACACTAGCAATAAGTCTGGGAAATTTAAATCTGTTCATCTCTCAAGTTACTCAATGTTTTCCTATATCTCAAAATTACTTGAAGTAAATCACTTTTTTTATCATGACCTACATTTAACAAACTTTGGAGTAGCACATAATGTTTATGAATTCATGTTTTATATATATATAGGCAGCATATCTTCATTATGTTTCATTGAATAATATAGACTTATTATGTCTATTTTTATAATAATCCTTTCTAGTTTTCTAACCAGTTTCTCAATGTTAAGATGAAATTCATCAAGGAAGGTGCCATAGATTTTTCTGACCTAAGTAGTTTTGATCACCACTGAGATCATCCACACGGGTGAATTACAATGACAAACTTATTGTAACTGTGATCATGATTTTACAAGATACATGTGAATATGTTAATTATTTTAAAATTAAAATTTATCTGTTGTAGATATGGAATTTTTTGCAGTACATGCATCTCAACCATATATATAAGCTGCCTGATAATTGCGTTGTCTAGCATGAAACAGCCTGTCGCTTCTAAGTATTGACTTCAATGTTCACTTTTATATTTAAACATACTCTATCTCTGATATTGAGCACTTTATCCCATAAATATAGTACACCTTAAAACTAATATATATATATATATATATATATATATATATGATAAAAATTGGTAGAAATACAAATGGCATTAATTGCACTTCAACACGTGGCTGCTACAGTCAATAAATTTTATTTAAGTGTTGGTTGCTTGCTTTTTATATAGAAGGCCATGAGAATTTGACATTTTTTTTTTATTTTTGTGATATAATATATTGGTGTTATCAACTATTTGCCCATATTGTGAAGGTGGACAGGAATGTGTTTTTAAATGTTGTGCAATAGAACTTGTATACGATAAATTACGTGTAAGGTGTCTTGATAATATTGTGGGCATCAAACACACACATATAATGTGTGTGCATGTGCGCCCACATTCAGACACCTGTACCCTCTAGAAATAAGGTTTATAATAATATTATTGATATATCTCAATAAGTTAATCTACTAAAATAATAAAGCAGATGAGGGGGAATTCCTAAAATAATAAAAGCAAATTTAAATCTCAATTGAGATTACTTCTTTGCTTTTAAAGGTTCAAATTTTGTTGCTGTTATAAATTAAGTTTTTTTTAAAAATGTCTAAATTCCACTAAGTTCTGACTGTATCATCAGACACAGGAATTGTGCCTTTGGTCAAAGCGGATTTTTTTAAAGACTATTAGCAAAACTTAGTTATGGGAAGAATCAGATAAAAAACACAAAAGTCAAATGAATGGGAGATTTGAGGAAGGCAATGAAAAAAAATCTGCTACCAAAGTTATCAGTTATAATAGTGGGAGATTTAGTAAAAGTGACATCAAATAATATTTTCCCAAAATAAGTGAAACAAGTTTGTTGTTTAGGGTTAATTGTTTGTAGCAAAGTACCATAATTCAAAGTCTGTGAGTGTCCCACACACACACATATATATATATATATATATATATATAAATATAAAAAATATATAGGGTGTTCCAAAAGTCATGCAATAATTGGCAGAAAATGTAGACTTGTGAAATAGCAACCAGGTAAAATTTGCATGACCTCAGTTTCTGTAATTTAACCAATAAAATTTTTTAATAATATACTGTCACATACATGATTCCATCTGGTAAATTACTATAAAACTTACAAGGTTATCAATGGTCACACGACTTTTGGAATACTATATATATGACAATATACAGCCTAATAGTAACAAGCATTCATTTTACACAAATTTTTATCAAAATAATCTCCTTTCTTGTTAATGCACTTAATTCAGTGGTAAATATTAATCACTTTGGTCAACAATTATAGAATGAAAAACTTAAAATCAAGATACAGTTGGTAATAGTAACTCTGTTGATTCATTGATGTTTTCTTGTGCGTAAACACTCGTACATCAAATGAATGTTGATTAAATTTAGCAGTAACATTATCTAAGGAAGATTAGATATTGTCAATGTAAAAGATAATTTCAAAGCTCAAACCTTTTTCATCAATGTTAACGATTATTTGATAGCAAAATTTTTTGTATACTTTAAATACACTCATTTTGAGTTCTTTGTGAGGCAGACTCTTCAACGTGTCCATTATTTGAAGATAAACATCAAATCATCTATATTTGCACAGGAAAACCCATTTTCCTCTCCGTAGAGAAATAGCTACAAAGTTATAATCACTTTCTAAATAAGAAATATGATTGAAATATGAATCTGTATATGAATACAAATAAATTGTGTGCCTGTCTGCAGTATCAACATAGCAAACATTATCCTATGAAATTTTACAAATGATATTAACAAATATATATATATACAGATTTTCCTATTTAGGCTTTTTAAAAAATCTTTTGGGAGTCGACACAGCCAGCACTGAACTAAGCAGATTTAAACTGCTTGACTTCAGTCAGAGAACAAATATTACACTTTAATTTGAAGTAGTACTAAGAAAAAAATTAGAAACTATTATTTGATGCTGCAATGACATAACAGACTTGTCTCTACATTTCATATATTCATTAGATTTTGCAAATTTATGTTTCTATAACAATTAATTGCTAATTAAAAAGTGAATGATAAAATAAAATCAATGTTTGTGAAACTTGCTTATGTAGAACTGAACTTTCAAAAATCAATAGATTTTCTTTTATTTATTAAAACATTTGGAACATAATTCTTCCTTTTTTTATTATTATTATTCTTAATTATAATGATTAAAAAATAAAAATCTAGAAATGTGAATTTCCTGGCCCAAAAAAAAAAAAAAATCTCTAAAAATTGGCAAAAGCTATTTCATCAATTTCTTTTTTTTTTTTAACAAAATGTCACTGCATTTTTTCAGCCAATATTCCTTCCTCTCCTGATTACAGATTTTAAATTCTCATTCCATTTACAAGTTATTCAAAAAGCATTTCAATCCATAAGGTTAACAAGCATTGCCCAACATAAAATATTTCCACAGTTAAATTTCTCTAAAAAAAAAAAAAATAATACAAGCATACTAATTATCAAAAGTGTGCAGGGATATATATATATATATATATATATATATATGCAGATAGGAAAAAGAGAAAGAATAAGTGAAGTGAGAGAGTGGGTTATAAGATTGGTTTGTCAACAGTAATTCACTTGACCCTTTAAGGTCAGAAGTGACCCAAAACTCCTGCAAGTTTCACATGCTTGCATTCTGGGAGTGCTGCCCACAATTAGGTCATACTGATTTTCAATACACTGCATTAGTACCAGTCACAAGATCAACTTGAGGTGCCAAGAATCTACAAGTCTTTGGAAATTTGCACCTTTGTAAAAGTTGTAGATTTTCCAAACCATAACCAACAGGGTTAATTGGAATTTAAGAGAGACAATGCCATAAACATTTCATATTTTCCTGTAATTGATAAGTAAAAAGACTGTAGGTAGTAAGTAACACATTTCCTTTAAGTGTATCTCTCAATTATGTCAATAATAGTTTAACAAGGGCACCTAAATAATGCTGCATGATCTAGGAGAGAACGGCTATGCATCACCAGCTTTGTGTAAGATTTTATATACAAAGGAAAGTGAAATAAAGGCCATTTCTTTATAATTGAACATCTTCCCAGTATTAAAATATCTAAAGAAAGAAAGGATGGGGAACATTGTGTTTAAAAGTTCTCAATATAGTGAATAAAATCATATAAAATTAGTCTAATTTGTAAACATGATCCTATATATTCTCCCTCAAAAACGCACTCAAATATATACATTTTCTCCCATTGTGGTTCTTAGATCATATCGATGATTATTAAACAGAATATTTCTCATGGGCAAGCTAGTCTATAAAAACAGGTAACTTGCTTCTTTTTAAGCCATTTATAAGAGTATCATTTATAATGCATTAAATTATCAAATATGGCTAAGTGGTTTTTTATGAATTTTAGGAGCTTATTTAAATGTTCCTCCTAAAGTAAGAGAACCTGAAGAAAAAAAGTTTTTTTTTTCTTTTTGATTGAAATATTATAAAGTAATGTAGATAATCTCCCATTTTTTTTGTTTCATTTTAAAACATGGGCTTTTATCCTTCAGAAAATCTAAAAAAAAAAAATCTTTAGCCAAAGCAGAATTCTTCAAAGAGAAGGAGCATTCTTTGGCATTTCAAATTATGGTGTCAAAATCTTTGGTAAAAATGACCATTTTTCTGATGTGACCAACGAAATAATGATGGCAAGAATATTGTTTGCTGAGTGAATGTAGGGGAGACATATTGGCACCTGATTGTTTGCTTCCATGATTGATTATGACATGATAATTTGAAGAAATATTTTCAGGATCAGAAAAAAGTGTTGACTTCATTGATTTTTTTTTTTTCTTCTAATACAATGTCTTCTTACCAGTCAAATAACAAGTATGACTTTCCTGTTTTATGGTGGCACTATGAAAAAAGGAAAAACTGTAAGGTACCAGCAGGGATATCTCCCCAAAAAGATGAGAACCAAGAAATTTCACATCATTTGGGGCCTGATGATTTTGAACAGGAATCACTGGCAAGCTGACTAAGTAAGTCAACTTTTGTTGGCTAGTTTTTTTTTTTTGTTTTTGTTTTGTTTGCTACATGATCATTGTGAATGAGGGTTTTTGCCTTTTGCATTGTTTTGTCTCTGGGTCTATTTTACTCTGGACCCTGAAGTCGTGTGTCTGGACTGTAGGTTTCTTTCAGCTCTGGGAAAAGTTCAAGGATGACAATATCAAGCAGAACATAACTCAACTGAAATTAAAAAGAAATAAATATTTTAAAGGAAAATTGAGTATCCAGTATATTATGACAATAATGTAGTATCATTTTGTTTGCATGTTAGTCCAACAGAATTGTCATATTAGGATTATTTGCCACTTAAAAAAAAAAATTCAATCTCATTTTAGTATTTCTGACAAATTCATACATTTAACAAACCTCTTCTTCTAAATACTGCAGTAACCAACTCTAGAGTAATGCCATATTGTGGCAAAACTGAGTAAATAGGTTTTGGATGTATTTAGTTATGGAAAGTCTAGTCAAGAAAATCATTTTTAAATATTGCAATGTATTTCATTTTTAAGAACTTTAAAAACAATATTAATATCTTTCATTTATTTATTTTTTTTTTTAAATAATGTCACACTCAGTTAAACATTTCCTCATTTCTAAAATCTACAAAGGTTTTTATGGCTGAAGTAAAAATAACAAGCAGAGAGAATACAATTACCTGTTTGTTGAGCTTGGGTTGCTGTAAGATGTCCAGAATTAATTTGGTGCCTTCATGATGATTTTGATCCCCCATGATATAAACAAAAATTCCTGGAAAAGAAAGATCACCAAATTTTATTGAATTTAACAGAACACTACAAAAAGAAAGAGCTCATGAAGAAATAATCCATATCCCTAGCAATCAACATATGCTGTGTATTTAATGATTTTTAGCTAAGATTTCTTGACTGATTTCAACCTCCTAGGTATACTGGAATAGTGAAAAGATGCCTTCCAAAAGCAAAGCAAAGTATTAAGAGAAAGGGAAATTTACTTAGCAGTTCCTATATCTCATTAATCTTCCTATAGGGCAGTGAATGCTGGACAATTTTCTCACAAAGAGAACTGAGATAACAGATGTGATTCTACAGAAGGATGCTGAGAATACCATAAATGGAACATGTGAGAAACAAGGAAGTGTTAAGGAAAATGGAAGACAGAAAGCGACAGTAGAAATTTCTTGGATGCATAATGAGGAAAGAGGGCTTAGAGAATTTGACACTCATGGGACACTGAATAAACCAGACTGGGCTCTCCAGTCTTTATTAGCAGCAAGGATGACTTCTTCTATAGGCCGTGTCCCTTTAGAACTTCCGGTCCTTTGTAGCTCTTAGTAAGGTTTGTCTTTTTACTTTCTCTTCTAGTCTCTGTTATGTCAAACATTTACACAAACCCATTAAGTAGATTATGCACTGCTTTCCTCTCTCCTTCAATAGCCCTTTGAGTGTCAAATTCGCCATGCCTTCTTTCTTCATGTGTCATAGAAATTTCAATTGTCTCTTTGATACCAAAAGTCTCCTTTTTGCCTCCATTTTCCTTAAAATGATCTCTGAGTTCACATGTTCAGTCCATGGTATTCTCAGCATCTTTCTTTAGAATGACATTTGTTGCCTCAAGTCTCTTCTTTGTTCTTGAGGAAATTGATCAACATTCAATGACATCTAGACAGACTTTATATATACATAATGGTTCCACACTATCTTTGTAATGAAATTTTCCCGTTTCTAAGTACTTTGATTAATTTTTGGAAGAAAACCTTGGAGAAGACAACAGGAAAGCATTTGAGTATCTTTCTCAAGAAGTCATGGCAATTCACAGATATTAAAAGGAAGTTGAGGAGAGCCATGACTGTGTAATTCTTGGAGATACATAGCATTAAAAAATATGCATAATGAATAGAAATGTTAAGATATATTTACTCTAACATTACAAATAGAAAAACACTTTTCATGAAATTTCAAAAGCATATCAAATTGTAATATTTTAGTAAGAATTTCTTGGAGATTTCAATAATTTCCACATATTTTAGGTTAATATGTCATAAATGCATACATTCAACTTATTTAATTAAATAAGAAAACAAAAGAATATACACTAAATTCTAAATTAAGGCAAATGAAAGAAAAAAGATCATGAAACAGAAAATCTTCCTAGCATTAAAACAAAGCTAATATCTTTATTCCCTTATGGATTCTTTCACTATAAATGTTTGTTGTTGCCAAGAAATGAGTCAAACCATCATTAGACAATAAACATCAACCAATTACTGTAATTCCCCATGTATAATACGCATTTTTTTTCTTAAAAAAATAAGCAAAATTAGGGGTGCGTATTTTGCACAGCTACAAAAAATCCTTAAAAAAATTGCTGTTTCATAGGTCGATTTCAATTAGGAAATGAAAACTCACCATGAACATACGACAATTTGACACTAACATTCGGCGATTGGGACCCATATGGATGTCAAATATAATCATATGTACCTAACAATACTTACAAATGTAAAATAAAATAAGAATTATCATAAAACTAAATTAGAATAATATTATTCTGTTTAAAACCATTTTTTAATACAAGTAGGAAACACTGGCTGTAATGAAATTGGAGACGTACAGCTTATAGGGTTTGATTACCAAACAAGGGGTGCATGAGTAGAAGCATTTTCCCATACTTTCAGCAAAATTTTAGGGGTGTGTATTATGGATGAAGGTATATTATACTTTGGGAATTACAGTACATTACCAGTGTAATGAGATAGTGAAAAACTTCAATCTCTATAAAGCTATTGCTTTTTTGTTTTCTGTGTTAGTTTCTTATTCAATAATAACAACAAATATAAATATAATTGAATATATTCCTGGGGATCCCGGAGGAGTAGGACTTGATAAATTATTAGTATATCAGCACACACAATGCTATCTTGGTTAATATTTACAATATTGAAATATCAGGTGAGAGTTAAGAAACACTTCGGAAGTTTTATCTCTCACTTACTATTCTTCCTTTATTTTCTCTCGCATGTACACACTATATATATATATATATATATATATATATATATTTACAAACCTTATTATTATAGACACCTGATATTTCAAATAGATGCTGGCATTTTTATTTATTAAACAGTGTGCATTGCAGCTACGTATCTGCACTTCCTAGAAATAACATTTCCTTTATTATTGCACATTGAGTGCTGGTGTTAATAAAATAGTGCTTGATGCAATATAACAGAGCTATTATGTATATATTAATAAATATGCATATTTTTCCTCACTGGTAGCACAACTCAAACTTTCATGCACAACGCAGTCTTCAGGTGCTGGGTAAAGACTTCAAAGTTTTTAGCTTGAATTCTGATCTGGAATTTTTGCTGTATGATGTTCAATCTTTGGTTAATATTCACTATTGAATTAAGTATATTTAACAGTAGATTGTTTTTTTTCATCTTTATCTTGAAGAATTATATATATATATATATATATATATATATATATATATATATATTCTGGACTTCTGTCAACCTATGAGGGTCAAGCTACTCAGTTCCTAGGAAGCAACAGCCAAACACCTACACATATGATTTGATTACAGTGCTGAAGACTTTGTGCAGAACCAAACACACTTTTTGAAGAGCTGAATACATAGACCTGGTGCACCACATGCCACAATGTCCCCAAATGACCCTACGCAAGTTTTGAATTCAGAGTTGTCCTTCTCTTAGACCAGTTGCCATCCAAGGCTATAGAACCCAGTCTGTTCTGCTATTTACTGGTGGGAAGAAGAATATGCAAGGGTATTAGAATGTAAGTGAATGTAATTGATTCAACTGGAATTTGAACTCGGCTCTCCAATTCCACAATCTGAGTCACTATCCATTACTCTGCTGTGCCTATATATATATATATATATATATATATATATATATAATGACCAACTTCTCATTTCTCTGCAAGTGTAGCTAACCAATCCCTGCTGCAAATATCTGCTCAGGCACACATGTGTTTATTCAACACCCACAGAGACCACCTGTAGTTTATATTACAACTATGTTGAGTGAACCTTACTAACAGTTCCTGGACGAGAGCGATTCATCTGTTATAATTAACAGATGACTTCCAAACCTTCCTACTCAATTTCATTCACAAGGCTTGGGCCAACTTGTAGTATGAATTTCATGAACATTCCAAAGGTGCTCCATGCTTGGACTGACTCCCCAGGTCATTAACATTAGAAAGTCAGCATCTTCATAAATCAACAATGATAAGATCTGAACACAGGTCTAATGGTTGGAAAGTAAACATTCTAACCACTTGGTTATGTGCTCACCCCCCCCATATATATATATATATATATATATATATATATATATATATATATATATATTCGGCTCACCTGTCGAGTTCGACGTATGAGGGTCAAGCAGATCGATTCCCAGGAAACCAACAGCCCGACGACAGCACATGAAATTTGATTATAGTGGTGAAGGTTTTGTGCAGGACCATCCATACTTTTTGAAGGGACGAATACAGAGACCTGGTGCACTATGTGCCACAAGGTCCCCAAACAATCTTCCGCAGGTTTTGAATTCAGAGTTGTCCTCCTAAATCAGTTGCCATCCAAGGCTATAGAACCCAGTCTGTCCTGCTATTTACCCATAGCTGGAGGGAGAAGAGGATTCACATCTTCCCCAAGGGTATGGGGAATGTAACTGGAATCAACTGGAGTTTGAACTCAACTCTCCGATTTCTCAAACCAGGCCGCTATCCATTATTCCACTGTGCCTCCTATATATATATATATATATATATATATAAACACATGCCCATATACATTATATTATGCACACACAAACATTATATATAAAAGAAGTAATGGATTAGATCCGACATCCTTCAGACCAACTCGTCTATGATGGGTCTCAACGATCGAGTAAAGCCAAAAAGTGCCCTTGTGCAAATTTCTTTAACATCTGGGAGGTGGATGCAGATTCGAATCCTACCAGAAGGCATACATTTTTCTTTAATAAGATTTCTCAAATAGTCAAATAAATAAATAAACCTGGTGTCTACTCAAATATGGCTATCTACTAAAAATAACACTTGTAATAAAATTTGTCAGATTAATAAAAGAAAAGTTGATTAATTAAGAGTAAGAAATACAACAAAAAGTAAGAAATTGTTTTGTTTATGTTAGGAAATGAAACTAAGCAGATATGTACATTCTGAGAATTGTTGAAGAAATTTGGACTTAAAGACACGATTCAGCTTTGCTCAACCAGTGAGACCCGTCATAGCTGAATTGGTCTAAAGCTCATTTTTCTTTAATAAAATTTCTTGAACATTCAGTCAGGCTGGGAAAACAAAAATAAATAAATATGTTGTTTAATAAATAAATAGTGTCTACTGAAATATGGCTATCTACTAAAAATAACATTTAAAGTGATATATATATATATATATATATATATATATATATATATATAAATAATAATTGGATTAGACATTCTGAAAGTTTTTTCATAGTAAATGATAAATCTAAGTTATTTGTTAGGTTCATTCATTGTGATATACTGACAAATTATATTTTTAATGTTTTCATTTCATCTTGTTTATAATTTGGATGAATCTGTTTTTGTATTTTATTTATTATTTTTTTATTAATCATTTCATCCAAAGCAAGATGATAAAACCGACTAAGACACCCGAGGTTACTGAGAATTATAGAGTCTGAAAAAATAAATTATTAACAAGAGAGAAGAATAAGAGAAC